GTGTGTGTGTGTGTGTGTGCGCCTTATATGAATTGCGTTGAAAATGTTGGTTTATTGATTTGTAAGCTGAAATTTAATTGAAACTCGTTGGCTGTCTGGCCTCGCTGTATCCTGCCCCTGCCGCAGCTATACGTGGCTTCTGGCAATTTATGAGGTCAGCTCGTGTTATGTGGCTGATAGCGTCCAGGCTCATATTTTCTGTTACCTCTAATTAGAAACCAAAAAGAAAACTGTTTACCTGTCCAAGTTCTGCGGCTTTGTAGCAGCAGCAGCAGCAGCAGCAGCTGCTGCAGAAACTGCAGAGCTTGGCACTAAAATCTAATTACGTGGCGAGTGTGTGGACTTATCTGGCTGTTAACAGTCCAGTGGTTCGTTCGTCCTGAAATTGCAATTTGTTGCAGCAAGTGCTAGTAAGGGGATTCCAGGCTAAAATTAAAACTATGAAAAGAAAACCAGGAAAAGAAACTTTTCAATAAAGTGTTGGCATTTTAAATACGTTTAAATACGCAGAAACTCTTAAAGAGTTGAAAAGGTGACAACATTTATGGAATTTAATTGAATTTCCATTAAAAGATTAAATATTTTTCGCGCTGCTTTGGATTGCTGCTTTTTAATTTTCGTGGGGTCATAAATTAAGGTTAAAATAATAAATAAATGCTGCGCGTACTTGCACCACATTCCAGAGCCGCGAACTTAGGGTCTGGCACTTGTCAAGGAAATGCCCCAGCCAAACAAAATTGATATAAAACAACGATCGTATTCCAAGACTGAACAATAAATCTTTTTGGGCCCACGAAGCGAAGGCATTTCGTAGGCATTTAACCTCGTCAGCCGGAGAAAAGGTCGCCCGGTCGCTGCCATTGTGTGGCCCCGAGCGGCACTTCCGATTTGGCATCTTTTTTTTGGGCTGCTGCGCACGCGCCCCGGACTCGGGGCAGGGCAGGGAAGGGCAGGGCAACCAGCGGCTGTTTAATGTAGAAAACATCTGTCCCGGCCGACGAGCGATTGCTCCTCAATCAGTGCGCTTCCTGCCGGGGCAACATGTGTGTACACAGACACACTGACACACACACATGTAAGTCCCTTTGTTTGTGTGTTTGCACAAAGGATGCGCGTGCTGCGCTGCAGCAGATGCCACAACTATCCCGAATATGCATGCACAGTCCTGCCGCAGACGTGAGTGGAAGGGGGTCAAAACCACATTCAAAACTATAAAAATTTGCACGTGCATTTGATTCGTCGCCGAGTCCAATTGTCCAAATGTAATGAAAAGTAAAAGGTTCATGCTGCACTGAGAGAAATATTTCGGTAAACGACGTCGTTAAGTTTGAGTTTACTTTATTTTAGTATCGTTTTGAGCATGACTTAAATAATGTAGGACTAACAAATCATGTTTGGCTTTTAAAGTAGCCAGATAATTACCTTAATTCCAATACAAATATTTCACTCTAATGAATTAACTAAATGCTAACTTATTTTAAAAAGTATCTTAGATTAAACTAAGCTTAAGTCAAGAGCTCGAAACATTCTAGATTTGAAAACACACATCTAAATTCTACATTTTAATTATGTTCTAGACGTGAGTGTTAAGTCTTACAGCATTAAGTTTCTCAAAAAATGTCAGCTTCAGCTTGAATTAAGCTCTCGTTTTCTTAAAATAGTTCAAAAACAAACTAGATTTAAGAATACAAGCATGTATTTTATATATGAAAAGCTTAGTTTGTTCTTTAATCAAGTTTGATAAAAAATCTTTAAGCAATCTTAGCTTAAGCTAAAAAATAAGTTTAAGATATTCTTAAATCAAAAACTGGCAACTCAAAGTAAGCATAATACCATCATATTTGTATCCATGCAACAACTTAATTTGTAGCTAGAGCTGAAGTAAGCTTCGCTTAAACTATGTCTAGGGGTAACTTCTCCTTTCTTTTCTTATGGAGAGCTGTGTTTGGGTGGTCAACACATCATCTAAGCTGCTTACGGTGAAAGCTGCACTCAATCAGTTTGTCTTACACGCGCGCTGACAAAGTGCTGGCAAACAGCTTGAGTACGTACGTGCCACTCGGGCAGCGTGCAACGTGCAACGTGCAGCCATTAGCAGAAGTAACAAAACAGCTTAAGACAATGCGACAACAGCATGAACAGCACTTGGGCTCATAATTTGGCTGGCAACGTTTATATCCTGCAACTGCTGCCAAGGAGCACTCCTCGAATCTGGAATCAGCTCAATCCAAAGATGCGCATGCCTCGACCCCCCTCGACCCACCTCGACCCGGTGCAACTCAACTGGCAACTCGTCTCGAGACATCAACTTCAACTCGTTATCGCTTCGTATATCGCTTATTGCCCGCTTCTAAGCGCAACCTCTGCCCGCTCCGCCGCCAGTCAACACTTTCCCTGTCCTGTTGTTCCCTGGTGCAGTTGGTACTGCGCCGGATATGGCTGGAGATGATGAGCTCCTTAGCGCTACTTGTGCTTCCTATCAGATTCCAGCAGCTGCTCGACGCGTCGCTTTGCTTTAATGCACTGCGTATTTCTTCCGGTCCGTGCTCTGTCTCTCCTTTTGTCTCCATCTCTGTCTCTCTCACTCTCCCCTGCTTTGTGCTCAGCTCTTGGTTTCGGTTTCATCTGCTTCCCCCTACACGATTTTAAGTTTGCTTTCGCAACGCTTTGGCACGAGCGCTGCTTTCATTCCGCTGTCGTCATCGGTCACGAGCACCTCTTTAATCCCTTTCAGTTGCCATTATTCACTTGGCACATCTAATTGTAAAGGATTCCGAAAAGAACTTGTGCATGCTTTAATTAGACCTATGCTCCCTCGGAACACCCAGAATCGTCTGTGTAATCGTAAAATTACAAACCAATATTTACTTAACATATTACACGACTATTCACGACTCCAAATGCAATATCTTCCAAAGATCGGACGCCACTAACCGAGTTAAGGATATTAAAAGATTATGAAAATTGCCAAAATTAAAAAATTCTCGAGAAAAAGTACGTTATACGACCAATTAATATCTCGGGTAAATATTGTATGATTTTGCAATGTTATACCTTTTTGAATTCTTACGGATCCCTACTATCAATTGGCATTCAAACAAATTAAAAATCGATGGGTTACAAAAAGTTGTTAGACCAAAAAACGATTCGTTTGTAAAGTCAACCTTTTTCCATGATTTTTTGAATATCTCGGCCAAAAAATTTCCGATTTTGGAATTTTATACCATTTTAGATTCGTAAGGATCAGTACTATCGATTGGCATCAAATAAATGAAAATATAAATTTTGGCCCAAATCGGCCAAAATGGCAAGGGCTTACATCACGTTTTTTCCCAAAATCGGGGTCAGTTCGAAAATCAAATTTTTTTTGATGATTTTTTATGAATATTTTGGGTAAATATTGTCTGATTTTGAAATTTTATACATTTTTGAATTCTTACGGATCCCTACTATAAATTGGCATTCAAACAAATTAAAAATCGATGGGTTACAAAAAGTTGTTGGACCAAAAAACGATTCGTTTGTAAAGTCAACCTTTTTCCATGATTTTTTTTGAATATCTCGGCCAAATAATGTCTGATTTTGGAATTTTATACCATTTTAGACTCGTAAGGATCAGTACTATCGATTGGCATCAAATAAATGGAAATCTAAATTTTGGCCCAAATCGGCCAAAATGGCAAGGGGTTACATCACGTTTTTTCCCAAAATCGGGGTCAGTTCGAAAATTAAACCTTTTTTGATGGTAAATATTGTCTGATTTTGAAATGTTATACCTTTTTTAATTCTTACGAATCCCTACTATCAATTGATATTCAAACAAATTTAAAATCGATGGGAAGGACATAAAAATCGTCCTTATGGTTTGCGAGATTTGGGTGTTTTTTTTAAAGGACATTCTTATTTGGACGACATATAGTACTTGTCCTGATAACTTAGAATATATAATAAAAAGGACGAAAATCCTTCAAGGAGCTGAGCAAAAGATATTTTTGTCTGTAGAGATAAAAGGCTGTAGATCGGCCGTATCCTTGCTGCTCATGATGTCCATTTGCCAACCTTTAGTCCTCATCCTCCCAATTCAAAATATATAATGGAAAGGACGAAAGGCCTTTAGACAGCATAGACATGTATACAATTCTTTCGTAAATAAACAAAGCCGTAACTCGGCCGTATCCTTACGGATCCTGACAAGTCCTGTGTCAAACAAATCGTATGAAAAAGGACCATAAACTGTCCAAAGGACATCAAAATCGTCCTTGCCGTTTCCGATATATAGCGTATTTTCGAAAAAGGACATTTTTTAATTAGCCATAACTCGGTCAAATCCTTAAGGATATCGGAGGGATATACATTTTTAAGCTCGTGGTGAGCAGGACTATCGATTGGCATTCAAAGATTTCCAAAATTCGACAAAAAATTTCGACGAAATTTTTCCTAGGGGTTAGTCGCAAAATGAGCTAATATCGAAAATATCCGGGCTAACTCTGCCATTTGAAGGACTATCGGGATGTCCTTTGGCCAGCAGATAGTCCTCACGCTCCCATTGAAGAATTTACAAACCAAAGGACGAAAGTCCTTCAGACGAAAAAGTGTTAAGGACGATTTTGTTTGATGAAAATAAGCCATAAATCGACCAAATCCTTGCGTGTCCTGGCGAGTCATATGTCAAAATAATTGTATTGACTAGGACTACCAACTGGCCAAGTTTCATTAAGATCGTCCTTGTGGTTTAGGAGATATTTAAGGATTGTGTTTTCGGGCCATTTCCGTGCGCGCCGCGACTGAAATTTTACAAGTCAAAAATCGAGTCATATCATTCTTAGATGACCCCATATTTTTATGATGCAGATCGATGCAGGGGGTCTATACGATTCTAACGCACCATGTCCTTTGAAAATCTGCAAGGACATGCCCGTTTTATAGCCTTTTTTCCTTACATAAAATGCTTTTATATATTTATTTACTTGTTTAATTTAAATGTGTTTTTATCTTTTCAGACTGACAAATTAAGGACTTCAATGACCTCTAAGGACCTCCACGACTGATAAAGCAAATTTTTCCAGGATCGGACTTTAATTATGGCAGATATAGCTATTTTAAGTTCAAATAGGCAACAATTATAATTTATTCTCGTTTTGTATAATTTTAAGAGAAATAATTAAGAAAATTAGCATTAAAATTCAACAATTTTGTAAATTTAAACATAAATAAATCAAATATTTATAATAAAACAAAAAAATTCCTGTTTTTTTATTTAAAAATTCAAAAATCAACGGTCTTTAGATACCTATTGCATATCCGTGACGTCAGCTTGCTGCCAACCGCTGGCTGCCGAGATTTTTCTTAAAATCTGCCAAAAATACCAGGCGAACAGAAACGCCCAGAAGGTCGACAAAAAATATTTTTTAGCTGCCGAAAAAATTTCGTTGCATACCCAAAAGGGGCGCCCACGTCGCCGGCTGGGTCCCAAATTTTAGCTAAAATTTCCCAAAAATACCAGGCGAACAGAAATGCCCAGAAGGTCGACAAATTATATTTTTGCGGCCGAAAAGTGACGTAGTAAAAAGGGGCACCCTCACCGCCGGTCCTAAATTTGCCCTAAATTCCGCTCAAGTACCAGGCGAACATAAATGTCCAGAAGATCGCCGAGTGCTTTTAATAAAAATTTCATTGCATAGCATTACGGGGCAAAAATGTAACTCAATTAAAATGAGTGCTGTTAAGTAGCAGTTTATGTAAAATGAACGCTGTAAGCTGGCTGTTAAACAACAGCTGCAGCTGCAGCTAATGTAAAAGGGCTCCTGAAAGAAAAAGCATACATTTTTTTGGACCATTTCAATGCACACTTTGCAGGGATCTGATCCTTTAGGTTCCCAAGGACTATATCAATGGTATGGCATAACCAAGGATATGTTTGTCAACTAGAAACCATCCAGGGAGTGGGGCTGCTGCTGGGGCGGCTATAAATGAAAATCATACATATTTTTGGGCCATGTTCTGGCGCATTTTGCGAGAAATCGGCCCTTTAGGTTCGCTAGGACTATATCCATGATATGGAATAACCAAGGATATATAGGTCAACTAGGTACCATGAATAGCGATCATTTGATGATAAAATGTTGTCCATGGGCGTGGCAGATGACGTTAGACAACTCCGTCCTTTCGGTCCGCAGGATTATCTCGTTTTCCCGTTTTTGTTTTTGCTATTTTAAAAAAGACAATTCCGCCGATCTAAAAACGACATTATTATTTGTAGATATGTTGTCCATGAACGTTGGCAGATTATGCTGAAAAATACAAAATGAAAAATATATTAGTTTTTGTAAACTATAATACATCGGTTTAATTACGTCAGACTTTGGAAAGACATACCTTTAAGGATTCGTGAGTCTTTAAAATCGACAGAACTCTACAAAATGTTGATTGAAATTGAAGGTATATCCATGGCATGAAATAACCAAGGTCATTCAGGCACAAACGTTATTGAATGTTTTCTTGTCCACGGCAGATTAAGCTGCAAAATTAAAAAAAAAAGAATAAGTATTTTGTTGGCTTTTAATATCGGTGAAATTAAGTCCGACTTCGGAAGGTTAAAATTCGTTGGTATATAAAATCGATGGACCTCTTCAAAATTTTTGGAATATCTCGGCCAAATAATTTACGATTTTGGAATTTTATACCATTTTAGACTCGTAGGGATCAGTACTATCGATTGGCATCAAATAAATGGAAATCTAAATTTTGGCCGAAATCGGCCAAAATGGCAAGGGGTTACATCACGTTTTTTCCCAAAATCGGGGTCAGTTCGAAAATCAAAACTTTTTCGATCATTCGGTTTTTTTGAATTTCTGGGCTTAAGAACGTACGTTTCTGGAATGTGATATATCTGCTTGAATTCATATGGAATTCGTACAGAATAATAGTTTCGATTGGCCATCAATCAAATTATAAATTGAGGGGCTACATCATTTTTGCAAATCTTAAATCAAAAGTTTTTTACTCTACTACTAGAGTTGACCTTTCACCTTTACAAATTGAAGAGACAACATTGCTTTTTCGATATATGTGATATCTTTTTCACTAACGAGAACCTGCCAACAATGCAAGTTAGTTGCAAAATGTGGAGAAAAACAGCGAATTTCTCATCCTGCCCTCAGCAGGTTAGCTCACACTCAGGACTGGACGTCCTTTGGCCAGTTAATTACGCTAATGCATCATTTTTGCACATTTGCACATTTGCATGTCTTGCATTTATTTACTCGCCCATTCAATCAGTCATTCGTGCACTCATTCGTACACTCATTCATTTGGCTCATTCATCGACATTCGCGGCTTTTGTTCGTTTTGTTGTTGTTGTTTTTGAATAACTGCACAAAGAAACCGAGCTGGGTGTTTGGGCGTGGCAGCAACTGGAGGTTGCATTAATATCGTATTAAGTTAAATGCCGCCGCGGAAGCCCCACGATATGCAAACACCTAATATCCCGTGTCTGCGAATGGATGCCCCAAGCTTTCGGTTCACTTTCTGTCCCTGGATGCGATTTTGCACACCCTCCCTGGGCTGTTGTTGTTGCTGTTGTTGTTGCTGCTGTTGTGCTTGGCGTGTGTTGCAATGGACAACTAATCCAATTGAATTAAAGTGGTATTTGCGTGTCTGGGCGTGGCACTGCGATTTCGGGCAGGGGTACTCACACTCAGATGGGATGGCAGGTGTTGCTCTCGCACAATTCGACATTTAAATTTTCATTTTGGCTTTTCTTTTATTCGGATTCCTTGCCTGCCTTGGCTCGATTCGATTCGATTCGATTCGATTCGTTTCAATTTAATTTGATTTGATTTGCTTTTGTTTTGCTTTTTATCGTTTTTTCGTTTAGCTGCGACTGCGACTGCAGATCCGCATTAAAAAGTTTCGCCCATTCGAGCGGAAATCAAAAAGTTTTATTGAGTAAAAGACAAACGAAGAATGTTAGAGGGGGGGAAGTGGGAGGCGGAACATGTCAAACTTGAAATAGGATTTACATATATATATATAGAGATATATGTATTTTTCGTAATAAGAAAATAACATGAGATCTTTGCAGGACACGAGCAACTTCAACTGGCGATGCGTTTTATTGCCATGTCCTGCGGCAGAAGGCAAGCTTTGCTGACAGGACAACAGCCCAAGCGGACAACTGCAGCAGGAAGTGCACACCCCCTCCCCCCTTCCCTCTTTCCACCTTGCAGCAGCGACACATTTCGACGGGAAATTGTTGAGGGGGCGAAAACATTTCCGATTTCACACTCAAATTGGCCGCCTTAAAGCGTCGAGAGCCAAATTTTCCAATGTTTATTTACAAATTTGCAATTGAATTCATGAATTCATTCAAGATTTTTGTGGCTCGCCTGCGACGTGCGTGGTGCGGGGGCAGAGGGGGGGGGGGGGGGCGGGGGCGAATAAGGGGGCGAGTGTGGGCGCGCACAATGCGTATACGGCCCGTTGAACGCAGGTAAAGCTGATTAATTGCTTGCAATTAATAATGAGCAACGGTAAATGGCAGGTAATAAATTGCTCAGACACACACACACACACACACACACACACAGACCTGCGCCTGCACTATGCAGGTCATGAATGAAAAGTGAAAAACGGAAAATGCCTTTTAGAACCTCATCATTTTTGGGTACTTAAATACATTTGTTTGTGGCATGTTCATCAAAAACTACAGCCGAGGGCATTTTTGACGGGGTGTTGATTCAATTAGAGGACAGATTGGATGCGGCCAGGCAAATATTTTTACAACTAAAAGATATAATATAATGAAATAGATCTAAAAGAGTTGCGTAGCGTATTGAAAATATGGAAATATGGATATCTATGACAATTATGATTGTATATATTATAAATGAACGTATTATCTGAGACAATTTTTTTAAATAAAAACATTTTATTAAAAAGTTATCTTTTTGTTTTAATTGCGTTCCATAATACTCTAACCAAATTGGGGAACTTTATGCGTATTTCTGGCCCAGCTTCCTCTTGAGTCGGTCAGTATCGTCTAGAGGTGGGCGCGTGTCGTGACACGAGTGCGCACGAACTTTTTGCGTTCAGTTAATGATATAATATAATAGTTTTTACATTGGCTTGACGCTCTCAGCACACAGACTATGACAATATATCGACTCACTTTATCAATTATTTGTATATAAGAATCGTAAGGAGTCGTGCGTGTTCGTGTCACGCAAGCAAACACGACACACGCCCAACTCTGGGCTCGACCATTTTTTGTTTCGTTTACAAATCTTAGAAAATTCTATTTAGCTTTTTACTTGATACAACAAATGCCTTTACCCTTCCTCCAATTCACTTTTTTTGTGATATTTCTTATAATGGAGTTTCTTTCAAAAAAAATTAAATATTTTGACTTTAAAAACTTAAAGTGAGGTTTTTAAGCAAACTTTCACTTAGGAGAAATTGAACGTTTACATTATTTAAAGTATGTTTTTAAAGCAACCTTTGACCTCAGAGTTCTCATTCTGGTCTTGAGAATGGAGTTCATTTCTTACGTATTCCATTATTTTCCAAAATACATATCAGCATTCCGTTCATTTCATTTGTAGTATTCACATTCGAGTTGTACGCAATCTTAAGCCTTATGCTACAATCATTCGATAGACAGCGCGCACTCTCAATCATTTTTGATGTATTTAAGTACGTATTTAGACGCTATTTAAATGTCTCCGATGATTTACGCAAAAATGCAAAATGCCGCATGTCTGCTTTCAGTAACCAGTTGGTGTTGTCTCCGCTCTCAGCTCCTGCGAGTTCTCATAATCGAGGCACCTTATCGGCAGCCCAAAACGGGCCACAATTATGGCACTTCCAGTTTCCATTTTCATAATACATCATTTGCATATGTATATATGTTATTGTGCTGCAACTGCAGGGTGTCTCAGGCAGTTCCATTGGCGTCAATTATGCGGCCATGATTTATGATCTCAACACGTGCCACGCCCACACTACGGTCATAATTCCAGCCGCCCCTCGCGCCGCAAGCAACTGTTGATCTATGATCTATGGCCAAATTCATGAAAACAAGAGTATTCTCTCTTTTGGGGGTTGGTTCCGCTTCCACTTCCACTTCCACTTCCATTTCCACTTTCGAGTCGGCCTGCAGCACTCTAATTTTTATTGGGGATCCTCGAACCCTCGATGCCTCGATCCCTCGATGCCTCGCTTGAACCCTAACACTCGGCCTAA